TCAGAGCAGCAGGTAAGCCAGTTTCCTTTTGGTAGACATGGTCTTTTCAGTCCTCCCCCCTTCTCAGGCCCAACTTCCCTTTCCCCGTCTCAGTTATGGGAATTGATGGTCGGCCATCAAAGCCTTTCATCACCCCACCTTTAATGACACCTTTTTTTTAATGATACCCCTTAACCCAGCTTGCCAGCATTCATTTGCCTTTACCGGCAGGCACTCCTGAAACAGTTCTAAAGCAGACACACTCCCTTAAGTTCTCTTTCCCTCCAAGCAGCAGCCTTCATGTGTTGCAACCAAAACAATTCCCAGCAGACCTTTAATTCTTTGCTGACACTTAGTTAATAAAAAAATGTAAAGGGCATCAAGCTGATAGTTCCCCGGGAACACGGGAAGTAACAAAGCAGACAAGGTCACTAATTCAAACCAGCCACTCCCAAAGCAGACAAGGTCACCAATTCAAACCAGCCACTCCTGCTAGCCTCTAGACTCTCCCCAGTTAATCAAAGCAACCTTTTAACAAGCTCTTCTCCAATCTCCGCCTTTACATTTACCAAACCCTAGTAAACCTTTTTTACTTTACACAGACACAAAACAAGGTATAGCAGTTCAAATTCTGACCCAGTCCCTGGGGTCCGCTCTATCCCCATTACTAAATGGCTGCCGCCATTACTAAAGAAGCTCTCAAACTAACACTAAGAGAGCCTATCCAGACATTATCTACCCACAAACTGCAAAACCTTCTCTCACACCAAGTCCTGTCTTTGCTGTGTCCCATACGGAACCACTTCTCAGAAAGCAGAACTCATTGCTCTCACTCAAGCACGCCACTTAGCTAAAGAAGACTCCTAACAACTGAAGTGTCCCCCATTATAAACAGTAAGTGAGCAGCTCTCCCCGCCAACCAAGCCGAAGATCTGATCCATCAAGCCCATCATTCCCTGCCTACAGGGCGCTGTGCTCTTCTTCAGCTCCTACAACCTGTGCTTTGTGTCTCAAATCACACAAGTGTCATTCACACTAGACATTAAGTGGCGCTTACATATCCCATACAGGCCTCAGGCCTCTAGAAAAGTTAAAAAGATGAATGGAATTATAAAAGGTCATTTTCTAAACTAACTCTAAAACTATACCAGTCATAAATAGACCTGCTTCCACTAGCCCTAACTTGAATCCACAGCACTCCTCGCTCTCCCTCTTTCGAAAGCCCTGTCAAGTTAATATATGCAAGGCCTAATTTAATCAACCATACCTTACCAGTCACACTATCACCACTGGCAAACTACTTACTCTATATCTCTCTCTTAAAAACTTTTCTCGACAAGGGTGGGAGGGTGGGGGGAAAGCAGAGAAAAAACAACAACAAAAAGCCTTTTCTCCGAGAACACGCGGACAGATGTCTACCTGCCTCTGATCCCGCACAACCTGACCTACCTGTAATCAACCCAGAAGACTCGGTTCTGCTGAAGAATCTCCATCCTCGACCTCTGCAACCCCAGTAAAAAAACAATACTGCACATCGTCATCCTGGCAACTCCCAGAGCAATCAAAGTCCTCGAAGACCCCAATTGGCATCATCTCACTTGTGTGAAATTAACCCCTAACCCACACCATGACCATTACACCACTCAGATGGTAGGCCCTACCACCTTATGCTTTACTAAAAGTTCTTCTACCTCTTACTCAATTTTGTTACACCCAATCCCTCCCTAGTCTCAGACGCATACATGTAGCAATTCACAGATCAGGAAACAATCCCTGAACAAAGCCTGCTGACAGAATACACACGTTATTATAAAAGCCAAACCCAAGTCATCACCACAGCTCATCTGTTACTTCATAAATCAGGATGCAAATAGCTTTTCTCTACATAAAGTTTACAAACATTATATAACTGTTAGTACACCAGCTCATTCTTCCACTCCTATATTCACTACAAAAACTTGTTCTTACGCTCACATTCTCACACTCCTATATTCACTATTCATACAGCATTCATTTACATTCTGTGCACATGCTTGCACATACTCCCACACCCATGTGCCCACTCACACTGATTGGTACAAACTCGCTCATTTATGTTCATGCATCCGCATGCCCATGTCTGCACACTCACCCATTAGGGCACAGCATACTCCAAACACAGAACTTTAACAAACAACTCCACCTGGTCATAAACTCCAGCTCAAAGCCTCTCACCTCCTTGCAGCAACAACTTACATCCCTGGTACAGGTAACCATTTAAATCCGTTGTGCATTAAATCGGTTAACAGCTGACAAAAAGGTACGTACACTATATCAATAAGTCAAAAGTAGTTAAATAAAATGTTAAAGTGCTCTGCAACATGCCCGAGGAAACCAGGAAAGGTCAGTAGGGCACCACCCGCCCTTCCACATGGTTTCAAAGTCCTGTTATGACCTGGATTATGCCTCTTGTTGGGCCTTTGGTGATAATTTGTATACTGTTAGGGTTGGCTCCCACTGTGTTTAAATTTTTGTAGGACCGAATGAAAGCCATCTCCCACCTGACCTTCAACCAACTCTTGCTTCACCCTTACAGTCCAGTGCTGACCAACCCGGGGCCTGAACCTTCCAACTCTTAATCTCCCCCTTATCTCAGCAGGAAGTATTTAAGACAGAACACTACGCCCATTAGCAGTATTAAGAGTTTGGGATGTTTGGGCTAGGTCCAGACTATGCAGCCGCCTCCCCCAGCTCTCCTGAAAGATAGCCTGCTGGACTGTGCAGCCCCTGCCTCCACATCTCAAGGCCAGAGCTGGACTGTGCAGTCCCTGCCTCCAGCGTTCCAAGGAGCTTACTCTCCAGGCTGGACCTGTACAGACCCTTCCCTCAGTGTTCCAGGAAGATTGACTCACAGACCACATCCTGACTCAGACCCTGCAACTGCAGCACCAGAAGGCCTTCCTTCCCCTTATCAGCACATACCTCCTTGGCTCAAGCCCTGTATATGTCCCACTGCCTCACTGCCAGGTGCGATTTCCCTGACCTAACTCGCTGGGTCTCAGAACCCACCCGGAGACTCAAGATGGCCCAGTCTTCTCTGCTTTCCCTTCCCTCCTGGGAGATCTTTCCCTGCCTCAATAAAATCTTTCTTAACTTCACATTCCTGACTAAATTCTATCTCTGTTCTGTGCCTCCTCCGTCTTCAACCTCTCAACTTCTTTAGATTTCCTCTTATCTTTTCTGGCTATAGGGCGGCTTACTGGAATCCATTTCATTAACACCAACAATGAGCTGCTTCACACCCAGTGTGGAAGCAGGAAAGGCATGCTCATGAGTCCGTCCATTCTTGGTGAGACCAGTTTCATATTCACCAACACCAGCAGCAACAATGAGCACAGCACAGTCAGCCTGCGGCTGTTCCTGTGATCCTAAATCTCTGTGTCCAGGGCCATCAAGGGTAATCACATAGTACTTACTGGCCTCAAATTTCCACATGGAGATATCAATGGTGATACCACATTCACATTCCGCTCTCAGCATATCTAAGACCCAGGCATACTTGAAGGAGCCCTTCCCCATCTCAGCTTCCTTCTGGAATTTCTGGATGGTTCTTTTGTTGATCTCACATTTGTAGATTAGGTGACCAGCTGTGGTGGATTTTCCAGATGGACGTGTCTAATGATGATGACAATGTTGATAAGGGTCTTTCCCTTTCTACCGGTGGCTTAAATTTTCGAGATACACTTGTATTCTGGCAGCAAACCTGTTGTGGGAAAGCTCATATGGTTTTAATTTGCACCCCCTTGTAACTAAGGATGTTGGGCATCTTTCCTGGAACTCCTTGTACTTACATACCTTCTTGATTAAACCCCCAATGCTAAGTTGTTTGTCTTGTTTTTGAGTTTCAGGAATTCTTCTTATACAAGGCTTTTATTAGAGATACAGTTAGGTGCTACTGGGTTAGTTCCAACTCATAGAGTCCCTAAGTACAACAGAATGAAGCACTGAGTGAGCCTGTGTCACCCTTACTAGCATTGCGTGGCTTGACTGCTTCAATAGATTATCAATAAGATTATCAAGATAGTCAATAATTATTGAGAGTTTTCTGATTTTTCTCTGCGCCTCTACTTTTCCACGCATGATGTCCTTCAGGGAAGAATCTCTCCTGATAATATGTCCAAAGTTTGTGAGATAACATTTAATCACCCTTGCATCTAAGGAGCATTCTGGCTGTACTTCTTCCAGCACAGATTTGTTTGTTATTCTGGAAGTCCATGGCATATTCCATGTTTTCAACAACACCATTAATTCAAATGCATCAATTTTTCTTCAGTCTTTCTTACTCATAGTTTAGCTTTTACATGCAGATGAAGTCACTGAAAAACACCATGGTTTGGGTCGGGCATGCCTTAATCCTCAAAATGACATCTTGCTTTTCAACACATTAAAGAGTTATTTTGCTTGAAGAAACACGTCGTTTGATTTCATGACTGCCATTTCCAGGGACATTGATTGTGGATCCAAGGAATCCTTGACAATTTCAACCTTTATTTAACTATATTCATGCTGGTCATTTCTGCTCTCCAATGTGACTCCAGAAGATTGCAGAATCTTTGGTATGGAAACCCTGAAAATCTCTCCTCTCTCTTACCCTTAGGTCAGTCCAGCTTTGCGCTCTTTCTCTGCATCCTTGAGTCCCTGGACTTGCACTAGTAATACTCATTAGCATAACAATTGCCTTTTAACCCACCCTTTCCATCCACAATTTACATTCAGGCAAGAACAGACTTTCCCCCTGCTGACTATTCTGTACTCAGTGGCTGGGTCATAATAGGTGCTCATTGAACATATTGGGCATCTTGTGAGTGAATGAATGACATCCATATAAGAATTCCTAATATTCCTTACCTTTGCTATCAGAGGAGGCTGAGCCCACCTGTAGAAGTAGTGGTTGCACTTTGCTTCTGTGTCGGCTCAACACTTTGCTTCCTGGGTATCTGGACTTTCCACACCCCCACTGAGTTCCACCCAGCAGGCCTTACCTTCCCACAATCATAAGCTCTCTTTCAGACGCCCGAGGTCGGATATGATTCCAGATGTCCATGGTGAAGATGATGCTGGCACTGTTAAAGATGGAGGTGAGGGAGGACATGAGCGCCGCTACCATCACAGCCATCATGAGCCCACGGAGCCCTGGGGACAGAAGGGAGACCTGTGGACCTCAGGCATTTTCTGTCAATAGTTGCTACCTTCACTCATCACCCCATTCTTCGGGCCCAAGACCACGGACACAATGAGTTCAGCTTTGTAGAGGCTGAAGTTAACCAAATCTCAAAGAGGTAGACTGGGTAGAACCTGCTGTGAGTCCTGCCTGCGGGGCTCAGCCTCTCAGCCCAGAACCCATGCTCTCCAACAGCCCTCCTATCTCGACCCTCCCTCATATCAGAGCCCACTTAGGTCCATTCTGGGAGCTTTGGGGACTTGATTTAACGTAAGGGGGTATTACCTGTGGGCAGGAGTTCCAGCACAAGTTTGGGATATGCAATGTCAGAACAGCCGGAAGGGTTGCTACAGACCTTCTGGCAGATTTCTGGATTTGCACAAGCCACCTGGTCTGTGGAGAAAACACAGCTCTAGGCTTGAGAAGAGAGACACTCAAAGCCCTAGTTGAATATGAACAGACACAGGCTAGCTACAGGAGATGGGATAAGGAATCCAGAGACCAAACTCTGTCCTTCCTGATGAGTGGGACCCTTGCAAAGGACCTCCTACCTAGCACCTACACAACCAAAAAAAAACACACCCCAAACTCACTGCCATGAAGTCAATGGTGATTCACAGTGCTTTCCTGTGGATTTCCGGATGTAACTGTTTACAGGAGTAGACAGCCTAGGAGTAGATTGTCTTCCCTGGAGCTGCTGGTGGTTTCAAAATACTCACCATGTGGATCACAGCCCAACACATAACTGCTACCCCACCAGGGTCCCCCAGCACCTACTGAGCACCCTTTTTATACTGCAGGTGGCAGTACAGTGTGCTAGTTAAACGGGGTGAGTTCTCTTGTCAAAAGCGTTAGAATTTCTGAAGTTTGAAATGAGGAATGCTTCTAGCAGAGTCAAATCCAAAACAAAGCACCCGACCTCCATTCTCTAATGCTAACACCTGGTGAAAGTTTACTATGACTCACATGCTGCAATAAACACTGCACATGCAGCATCTTATCTAATTCCCAATAGCTCTGTGGGGGAAGCTATTACTATGCTCATTCTACAATCTAGAAAAGTGGGGCCAACAGAGGTTTAATGGTTTTCCCAAAGTAGTATTAATACCAGCACTCAGACCTTTATTTCAAACCTTAAGTGGAAAAGATGGGCTTCATATATAGGTACATTTATAGACTATTGTATTTTATTTTTTTAAGGGTAGCTTTTCTACTCTCACAATTTTTACTTGAATGCCTTCTAAAACTGCACGCAGTGCCTACAGCTGAACAACAGCGCATCTCATCTCACTGCCATCCGGTCAGTGCTGATTCATAGCGTCCCCCTGAGGATTTCCAAGATGGTAGCTATTGACAGGATTAGAAATCCCAGTCTTCCTCCTGTGCAGAGTTGCTCATGGTTTTGAACTGCCAGCCATGAGGATTGCAGCCCAACAGCTAACCACCACACCACAAGGGCTCTATCTGCCCTAAGACTTACATTCCTGGATGTGTACCCAAAATACCAGAAATCGGCCTCAAAAAGATACTTGCAGAGTTACTGAATGTAACTTGTCATTATATGTTTCATTACAACGTTATGTAAAATAGCCCAAAGGAAGACATAACATAAATATCCATCAACAGAAAAACTAGATCAATGAAATGTGGTATGCGTATACAATGGGACAGTATTCAGCAATAAAGCCAATGATGTTCTAATACATGTTACAATGTGGACGAACATTGAACACATTAGGCTGAGTCAATCAGATACAAAAGGATAACTATGATGTGATCCAAGTTATATTAAATATAGGTAAATTGAATATATATGCATATACAGAGAAAATAGATCAGTGGTTATGGTCCATGAAGTGGGAAAGAGGAAATTGTTCTTCAATAGGTACAGCTTCTCTTTGGGGTGATGGCAAAGTCTTCTATCTGAAAAATGGTGATGGTTAGCCAACACTGTGAAGATCTCGGTGTCACTGATTATTTTATACTTACAAATATTTAAAATGCCAAATATTATCTATTTTAATGCAATTTAAAACTTAGGCTAAGTAGAGAAAGAATGTGTCTAGACTCAGAAGAGCCCAGTATCACAGCATCAGTATAAGCAGCTCCATATAGATTTAAAAGTTTAAGAAGGAGCTGGTAGCTGAGGTAGAAAGATAAGCAGAAAAGAATGGTGGAGAGGTTTGGCTCGAGCTTGGTTCTATAAGCTGGGGTCCTCAATCTTTAGCATGTATCAGAATATTCTGGGTGGCTTGTCAAAAAACGGTTTGTGGGGTTATACCCCTAGAGATTCTGATTCAGAAGGTCTTAGATAAAATTTGAGAGTTTGCTTTTACTACAGTTTCCCAAGTTACACTGAGCTGCTAAACTGAGGGCTACACTGCGAATAATATTGGGTAAAAAATCTCTAGAAAAAGGAGACCAAAAACACTAGCTGCTATCATACCAATTCTGACTCATGGGGACTCCAGAGATGTCTGAGTAGAATGTGATCCATAGAACTTTCTGGGCCTGAAAGTAGGCCATGAGGTTTTTCTTTCAAGGTGCCTCTGAGTGGGTTTGAACCTCCAATATTTTGGTTGGCAGCCAAACACGTTAATTATTTGCACTACCCAAAAGGACTCCATAGAAATGACAGAGACTTTAAATATACAGTGAACCCTCACCCTACTAAATTACTATTTCTTATGTGTGCTTATATAAGAGAGTGTGCTCATGTGTATATTTATTCTGCTGTTCCCATGGGCATTAGACTCTAATCAGCTACATTACCAAATTCTTGGAATCATAGAACATGGAGTTTGGTCTCATTTCAGATTGATTGTTGATTAGCTAGCTAGCTATTAAGAGATCGGTTGAGGTCTTGTTATTGATCTTTCTTTCCCCCTTTTTCTTGTTCCTGGTTGTTATTGATCTTTCAGATTGATCTTGGCTGTAACCAAATTAACATGTAATTTTCCTGGAGAGAGGATAACATGTAATGATTGAGAGTCAGGTTTTGAAGGCAGAGTCGAATGCTGGCTCACCAGCTTCTGTCAAGCCACTTAGCCTAGTAGTTCCACTCTTTCCCTAATCTTCACATCCAACTGTGGTAGTTACTTAATTTGATAGGATTACAAGTGAAGGGGTGGAGTCTGGCCTGTCAAGATATAACCAATGAGACCTCTGTGTGGGCACAGAGAATTCTCCTGAGAATTCTGGGAAATTCTGGATTTTTCTCCTTGGAAGCAGGAAACACACTCTCTGCTCACTCCCTGAGATGACACTCTGGGAGTTGGAAAAGCCACATGGACCTACCCTGATGCAACCAGACCTCTGGAGCCAGAGAAACAGCATAGAGACCCTTGCCAGTGCTGAGATGCTTACACCACCACTGGGTCCACAAGACTTCACACCATCGGCCTGTGATTTTCCTGCATTTGGCATCATTGCATGTGTTTTGCGAGTCTGAAGAGGACTTTATAAATTGTTAACAGACATTTGGGCTAATATTGGATTTATGGACTTGATCTGGATGGGGCTGTGATTATTCCTCAATGTTCAATTGCTCTTGTATATAAACCTCTTCCTTATACACATATGAATATACATCGATTTGTTTCTCTAGTCTACCCAGACTAACACGCCAACCAATCAATAAGTCTGATTGGTCCCACTCCAAAAAATATTCTCAAACCATCCGCAGTGCTCAATTGTCACCTCAAGAGTAAGCTTCTCTGGAAACCTTCTCTGAAGAGCCCCTGTCCAGCATCCCCATTATGTCCCCATGTCACAGCACTTAATTGTGACATACTTCTTCAGAGCACTAAGCATGTTGGTAATTCTTATTTTTGTCTATTTCCTCAATCACCCGAGTGCAAGTTTCACTAAAACAGAGATGCTAAATGGATTCCCCATGATCTTGAAAAATAAATTCTAGGTGATGATGGTATTGAGGTAGGGGTGGCCGTGTTGGGAGCTCTATGGAAATTGTGGGGTTTGGGGACTGCGAGGCTGAGTGGAGAGTCTGGGACATACAATTAGGCATCACGGCACCCCAGGGGTCTGCTCTGGTCCATGGGCTGATCTTCCCTATGATGGTGATCCAGCCTGCTCCTCCATACACATCGTGGAGCTGCCACAACCTGTGGCCTGGTGTCTGGGCCATCCCAGCCTGCACCACCCATGCCATCATGGTTTCCCACAGCCACTGGCCCCTGCAATGCCATGGCTTCCAGTGCAATTGGTCTGCCCAGCACCACCCTCACTTCCCGCTACCACCCTGCCCATGTTGCATGAAGGGCCACCATACTGCCCTCCAAATAGGTAATCCCAGCTGTCTAGGGAGAATGTAAAGCCCCAGTGAGACAGACACACAGCCTGATCCTGCAGCACAGATGGCTCCAGGTAGTCCTAAGAATCATTCTTACTAATCTCCCAGAAAGACACCTCAGGGCTCCTGGACTCCCGGGAAACTGGTGCCGAGCTCCACAAAAGTGACACGCAGACAACCCAAATCAGCAACCACTACAGGAAAGCAAGAGAAACAAAATGCAATGTCTAAGGAGGACCTGAACCTAACGATGTACATGGAAGAAGCAGACTTTAAATAGGCACCGAAAGAAATCTTTAGAATGCTGCTTAGAGTCATACAGGATATGAGGGAATCAATACAGAAAAATGGTGAAATAATAGAGAAGATTGAGTCCACATACCTAAGGAAAATACAAGAGTTAAGGAACCAGGAAACATAATCAAAGAATAAGGTAAGAGACCTCATCAACAGGCTGGAAAAAGCAGAGAACTGTATCAGTGATCTCAAAGATAACCAAGGAGATTTCAACAAACAGGAAAGGTAATCAAACAAGATACCGTATATACTCATGTATAAGTCGAGTTTACCAGCACATTTTTAATGCAGTTTTTGTGGTAAAATTAAGTGCCTATAAGCTGATATTTGGGTCAGCTTATACTTGAGTATATACGGTAATCAAAAACACTGAAGGAAACCTAGAACAATAAGCAATGCTACAAAGAGGAACAATATTCAAATAATTGGGATATCAGAACAAGATATAACAAAGAAATCAACAGCCAAAATAGTGAGGGAATTCCTGGAAGAAAATTTCCCTAGTTAAATGAATGAGAATCAGACAATTATCCAGGAAGCAGAGATGACACCAATTATACTGAATCCCAGAAAGAATACACCAAGGAATATAGTAGTTAAATTATTCAACTTTGAGGAAAAGGAGAAAAGCATAAGAGCAGCTAGAGAAAAATATTCAAAAAGAAAAAAATTCAGTCACATATAAGGGTACTGAGATAAGAATATTCTCAGACTTATCAGCAGAAACCATGAGGGAAGAGGAGAAAGTGGAGTTGAAAGTTGAAGTCTGAAAGTTGAAGGAGAA